TAACTTATTTGTAAAGAGTAATAATCTATATACATATATAATGTATAATAACAGAAATGTGACTGTATTTTACAAAATACTAGTCTACTAAAACACAGCCAAGACAGGTCACTTTGTAAAGAGTAAAGGTCAGTTTTATAATATTGGATACGGTAAAATGAGAGCATGTGTGCCACGTCATTGTAACTTCTGTATTGTTAGCCAGGTACGGCTGAAAGGGTCAATATAATAAAAATATATATAAATGTATAATGTTATGAGATTTAAGATATTTAGTCTAAACATTTATGTTTTCGTGTTATAATTGCTGTCATTCTAGTACGAAAGAGGCATAATTTATATTTATTTCATAAGTTTTTATGATGGTTACAAGATCAATCAAATCTACGAAATCTGTACAGAGATTCGTTAGTGAAAAAAACAGAATAAATATAAAGTTTCTTTTAAAGAAACATTTGGTAACTATCAGGACATTATAAAGATTCTGCATGTGAAATTTGAAAATGTTCTGATGAATAAAAGTATTTTTAATCTTAAAATGAAAATTACTTTTCATGTTGGATAGGCAAACATGTGAAAAACATTGAGACTTAATAAAAAAAATTGGTATTTTGCGTATGAAAGCATTGTAACGTTTACTGATAATCTACCAAATTTTGTTAACATATGTTTACAAATTTAAAAGTTACAGCATGAAAACTATAACAAGCACAAAATGGTTATGAGGTCAGTCCTAGGGACTGAACCTGTGCTGAAAGAGTTAACAAGTCCTGAAAGAGAGGATGTGACAAGAGTTTTGCTTTTCTGTTTGATGGCTCTATAACCAAATAAGATTTAAGGCTATAAAAGTTATATTTTGTCTGAGCAATGATGGTTTTAGTGAGTAATTTACATTAAATTTCGTACTTATTGGAGGGGTGGGGAATAAATTAGAGAAGAGAGGATATCTAGAAAAAAAAAGTCACACTTTCCACACCAGGGGAAATTCACGATTTTTTTAAATATTGCCTTATAAAACTAAGTAACTATTAAAATATGGATTATTAGCTATGATTTTATGCTATTCTAATTCGTATAACATATTAAAAAGTTGTGTGATTAGATTTTGAATATGAATCTAAAACCCCATGACATGCACAGTAAAGGATGCTGATGCTGAGTGTGTTAATCAGTCTTTAGATTGTAATCTTGAGTTTCATGTATAACATAAATTTCATGTGTTCTTAAATAAGATCTAGAGTAAAACAACTTTATACTTAAAGGTTTTTCAATATTTACTGAAAGTTATACTTACATGAAGAACTTGTGAAAACTCTGAGTAATTGTTTGTTCTTTTCCTTTTCTCTCCAAAATGTAATCGCATAAATTCACTGTTAAAGTTAAATGGTATTTTCTGATGAAGAGTTGTTTGTTTGATGACATATTCAAACTCCTCTATAATAAAAATACTTTAAATCAGAAAAATTTATTGTTGAAATTTTAAGCAAGCTTTTCAAAGAAGATGACCTCTAATGAATAACTATTTTATAACCAACAACAATGAAATTACTTTACAATATATAAATAAGAGAAGAATCAAATTCTTCAACATCAAATTGGCCATCAACCATACATATGTGCACGTGAGACCCCAAGATAATCTTTCGGATGCATACAACTTCTTCATGTATTTACATTACATACACATTACCATATTTACAATATTACCCACTTCAGTACAATTTTGAACTTCTATTTTTACAAGGGGCTCTAGAGAACACTTACCTGATATTTAATTTACACATATAATTGTTTTCATACAAACCAGCAGATCTGCATAGAATCTCTATCATTCCTGACTCATGGCCCTTTATAGCACAAAAAACATGCTTAATGGATTTTGTTGAAACCAGTGACCTTTAAGAGTGGATCAACAGTAATTTACTTATTTGTGAACAAAAGTTAAATTTATTTATTAGAACATGCCATTTCTTATCTATTAATCTGTTATTTCTTTCATTAAAAGAACCAGTTTCATTTAAGGGTTGCTCTTTCTGCTGTCTTATGATACAATAACCTCCATCCATGAATTATAAACAGCAATAAAAAACAATATATAAAATACTGTAAAAATATATGGTTAGAATGTTAAAAAATATGTATTTGCCATGCCACACCCAATATAGAGCATTCAACCTTCCGAGTAAGAAAATTAATGTTAATATTTTACCAAAATTGAAGACCATGCCACCATCTATTTGTACAATTTCCATTTGCCACTAGCCTTGAGGCTCCCACCTAACATCACGTGTTTACATGTAGTACAGCTGCTTTGTAGCAAGCAAAGGATATCAAGATGAGCTCCCTTCAGAAAGCACCAGAAGAGAACCGATAGAGCATGACACCCTATACTATGAAAGTATAGGTGCACACCCATGAGAGACTGTACCCCTTCTATATAGTTTTCACCAATAGTGAAGATACATGTTGACAAGTTGGGCAGAAGATAAGCATGTCCAGAAGAGGAAATGGACATCCTTCATGGTGTAGAGTAGCCAGGGCATGTCAGACCGTATGTGGTGGGTCAAAACCAGGTAGCATTGGTTATGTCTTCTGGTTTGAATGAGGAGGAGGATGCTAATCATCTTCACCTCGATACCAGGAAGCAGAAGAAAAAAGCAACTTTCATTCCAGCAACCTAGGTAGGGCACATGTGCAGATGAGTACAAAACCAACACTAGGACACACAAGAACCCGACGTCCAGGTAACTGTAAGAAGAAAGAATGCAAAAATGGTGAGTCAACTCCAGTCCAAAACCAGACAGTGTCAGGAATGTTTCATTCAGTCTGTGGTAGGAGAAGGGTCCCAACCAAACACATGTGTGAGGACTTGAGTTGCCTAGTCTTGCATTGATCCAACACCAGACTGCCTGGCAACTGCCATCCAGCAGCAGTAGGATGAGGTGAAGCCAGACAGACGAGGTGAACTGCATGTGGCAGATTCACCCAGTCCAAAATCACGCAGCATCAGAAATTTTTTGTCTCTTCTGCTGTAAGAGAGTACACACTATCTACACCAACAGAACACCACTGCCCTACTCTACTGAGTGGAAATGGTCACACTCACTCAGGAGGAAGTCTGTATGGTCCACCACCCAAATGGGTAGGAACTAGTAAATGGCAAGGATTCTGATACTCTACTAAAAGGAGGGGGGGATACAGTGAAGAGTCCGGAGAAATGCAACACCTCAAGACGGTGCAATGGGTGACAACAAAAATAATATTTTGAAAAGCAGGCTGGTCCCGGTATATTAAACTAGGACCAGAGGGATGGACAGCAATCCCAACACTGCTTTACTCATGACAGTCCATGAGTTAGTAAAGCCTGGATTGGACCTTATTTATGAAGCAATACAATGAGAGAAACACAAGTAGTCTTGTAGAACACCCTATCTCATCAGTGAGCATTACAGACTTTAAAAGTTGCATGGTGTGGATTTAAAGTGAAGTATATCCTGGCAGGCACTGCTGGACATTCAGCTGGATCCTGAGATGTAGAAATGGTCCATTGTAAAGGTAAGATATATAGAAAAAGAACTTACCCATTCAGAGCTGGCAAGTTATGTAGAACAACAATGGGAGGAAGTTGATATCCCAAAGAAAAAGAGATGGCCAGATGATGAAGATAATGTGTGACAAAACTATGTGGGGCAGTCCACATGATATCCACCAATGGATGACTGAAGTGAGCAGCCAGAATGAGAGTAAGGCATGAGAAGACCTGAAAGAGTCTATGAGAATCAACATCCAATAAAACATAGGATAAATGGAAGAGCTGCTGTAGCCATCCCATGAGGGTAACATGGAGGAAGGAAAATGGTGAAGGACAAGGGAACTCAGGCAAGGAACCAGTGATCATGCAGAGTCAATTGTAGATGTCACAAATGAGCATGACCCAAGGCGCAGGATTCTATGGAAGCCAAAATCCCTAAACGAGAGAGAACCTCCCTCACAGTGAGAAAAGGAGAAAATGAGGCATGGGAAACTAGTTGCTACATTTCCCTCAAAAGAAAAGGAGGTGGGGCCCTGTGGAGATGTAAACTGAGAAAAAAACCAAATAAATGAGAAACTAAATGGGTGTGTGATGAGACTTCTACAAGTTGACCAACCAACCCAGACTTATGGCTCTTGAAGGAAAAGAGGCTTATAGGGATGGAGCCAAATGAGAAAAAACATCCGAGAAGTCCACCTCAGTCATCCCAAAACCTGGGGCAAGAAACCACTATAGGTTGAGAAAAGTCCCAATGGTAAACCTAGGGAGGTTGAGAAACTGACCGAGATGTAAAATGACAAAGACCAGATGCCAAGCTACAGATTCTTCAGGAGTCATGAAAAGACATGAATAAATCTTGGAAAATGATAAAAAAAAACATCTGATAGTCTTTGGCCATTAGGACTAATAATGCCATTGACAAGATTTCCCTTGGAGTAGCGAAAGTCATGGGAACAGAAGACAATGGCAGAGAAGAAAAAAAATGAAGGATAAGACTCACTGACAGAACTCCCAGTACTCCACAATCAGCCACAAATAGAGGGCAAAGGTCCTTAAACTGAAGTAAACAGAACTCACGGACCATGAGCCTATAGGACAATCACCGCAAAGACTGACAGCACTGAAGTCTAGAAGCAGTGGGAGAACAGATGGGAACAGTGGAATGGGAAGTGGTGGTAGGAAGAGTAGAGGAAAGGAGATAGAGAGAGGCAAAGAAGGAATATGGGAGAGATGGTAAACCAGTGAGGCTAAGGAAGAACATTGGCATGAGAAAAGGGTGACAAAAGGAACTGAATAATAATGGCATCATGCCCCAATAAACTCTAACAATAGATCAACCAAATATGAAGGGATAAAACCAAGGAACATAAACATGTCACTGTAGAGAAGATGGGAGAAGGGTCACCCACAAAAAAAACCCTCAAAGGATTAGTGGATTACCACAGAAAGGAGATGAATGGAGGAAAATAATGGAAAAGGATAGAGAGTGCAAGATGAAGGTGGGAAAACTTAAGTCTGAAAAAAGATGAACAAAAGACAGAGGATCCAATCCCCATGTCTAAAGAAAAGACTTCCCAGCTTAGGAGTCAAAGAGAGGCAATACAGCACAAAGTTAAGCCTAGCCAAAAGAAAGAGGAGTAGGCATGCATGCATCAAAGTAGTGATAAAAGTAACTGAATAAGGACTAACATATCTGAACAGAAATTTAAAAAGCAGAGAATAAATTGCAAAGTGAAGGAGTGAAACAAATCTGAAAAACATAGTCCCAAAATTATGAAAAAGGTTCAGGTAGATTCTTGACAGCATGGGTATAAGGTTAAGCAAAGATAGGTAATGGGAAAAAATTAACAAAATCCCTTCCATCATGAATGAGAAGCATAGGAGGAAGTCTGTCAGGTAGAAAAGAAGGCATAGGTCACATGAACCACTCCACCACCCACCTCACAAAAGTTGTCATTTCTCCCAACAGACAAAGACAAACACAACATCAATATAGGTGTGAGACTCTCTCTCTAAGTGTCATATACAGTTTGAACATTGGCAACCATGGTTCTCCATAAGCTCATGTCTTTTGTATATTTCAAAATGTCATTCATACTGACATCCATCCATTTGCTTATGCTACTGGTGTAGTGTAACCCAGGCTTTCCTCAACTTTTTTTACCCTCTTATTTTTCCAGTAACCACCATATTTTCAAGTTCTTCCTTTCTCATTATGTGTCCTAGGAAACTCATTTGTTTTTCTCTGGTGTTTATGAACAACTTCCTCTGTATCTCTTGCTCTTCTCAGTACATTTCTGTAGTTTCAAGTCACTACTCCATGATAGGAAAGATGGTCCAACACTCATTGCATATGTAAGGATGGAGTACACATAACAATGCAGTTATGCTTTGATTTTTTTAAATATTTTCCCTAACTTTTGAAAAGCTGTCTTTGCCCTACCTATATGTATATTAATTTCTGTATCACTTCTTACATCTGGTTTTATAATACTACCTAGGTATTTGAATTTTTCCACCTGTTTATTAATTCATTTCCAATATAAAGTTCCCACTTCGGGATATTCTTTTTTGCTGATGACCATACATTCTTGTCTTTTTCATGTTAATTGAAAGTTTTTATGGTTGCTTGCCTCTACCACCATGTCTACTAGTCCTTGTAAATTGTTTTGTGAGCTACCAATCAACTCTGCATCGTCTGCACATCTCAAATTATTCAGGTTATAGCCTTCTATTATGTAGGGAAGGCAGCTAGTCATCATCACCCACCGCCAACTCTTGGGCTACTCTTTTACCAACGAATAGTAGGATTGACCGTCACTTTATAACGCCCCCAAGGCCAAACATGTTTGTTGTGATGGGGATTCGAACCCGTGACCCACAGATTGCGAGTCGAGCGCCCTAACCACCTAGCCATGCCGGGCCGCTTCTTTATGGAGCTACAATTTGTAAATGTTTTGTTTCATTTCTGACACCTAAGACCTTTTTTTATATTTATCTTATATTTATTTATATATTTATATTATATTTATTTCTTATATTTATCCTAAACCAACCAGTATTCTGGCTTTAATGTTGAAGTGTCCCCATCTATTAAGCACCTTTTTTATTTCTGTTTCTCTCAATTATATATATGTAGGTTCTTGTTTCTTTATAAATAAAGATTTTTACCTTTTCTGTTTCTATTCAAAGCTGTTTTTTCACAAAGAACAGATCTGTTTTAAAATTTATTTAAGGAGTGATATTCAAAATAATTGGAATGTTGTGTGAAAATTCATAAAATCTATATGGGAAAATGGTTTTGTGGAAATTTCAGAAAGGGTCAAATCAGATGTTCACTCATCTCAAAATCAATCAAGCTATAAGCATAAAAATATTCAAAAGTGTTAAAATACTTTATAACAACCACCAGTTAAATCTAGCTATTAAATATTAACTTTAATCAGTAAAAATGGTTCCATTTCAGTCCTAAATTAATGATTTCATTTCAGTTATGCATTGGTTTTATAATTTGTTGAATCATTTGACTTTCATGCTATACCACAGAAAGCAATTTTTTCTCACTCACATTTTCAGTCTTAATGGTACTGAAGTCTGGTTTAAATTCAACTCTGGTCTTAGTCTTCATGAATCAAGTTTCTTTAACCCTACGCATCCTCTCACAATCAGCTGAACCAATGATTAAAAACAGGTTGCTGTAAAGAGGAATACTATAGTTCCATGCATGATCTCATACAGGTGACAGCATGTAGACCACTGTTTTCAAATAAATGAATTCCATGATACAGTGTGATAGTCAAATGATTCAACAATCTATAAAACAAGATCAAAACATAGCTGGAATGAAACCACCATTAACTTAGGACTAAAATGTGATTCCATTATAAACTTCATATAAATGTGTGGATAAAAGTTAAATGTACAAGATTTTAAAGTCATGAAGCTTATATAAAAAATCTCATTCCAAACTACATGTGATATAGTTTCTACATTGGCGATGTATATAAAATGTAACTTAATAACAAAAAACAGAACGAATAGAATATTTAGACAATTTCAGATACAAACAGATTAGAGAAGAAGGTTTTTTGTCCAAATTTTATATTACTTTAAAGCATGTCAAAATAAATCATAACATTGTAAAACATTATGATCACAAGATATTTCTTTATCAATCTACAAAATTCACCTTAAAATTATCATAAGTAATGCAAAAATTCAGCTACTTCATACTACAGTCCAATGAAAAGGAAAATTAGAAAAACAGCTCTCTAAAAGAAAGGAAATGGAGGCATGACATTAATCCACTAGAAGAATGTTTACTATAGTTTTTCTTTCATTTGAAAAGCTGACCAACCACATTTCTCACTCTCAGACAACTAATAAATGTAATTAAAATTTTGACCACGTTTTATTCATACAAATTTAGATAATTAATATTTTAACTGTGAATTTTTTAATATATCATAAAATGTCTGTTACAATTTTAGATTAGCAATTCGATATATAATTTTAACTCTAAGATAACTTTGTTACTCACCATGAGTGACAAATCCAGAGCCTGTGGTGTCAAAAAGTTGAAAAGCTGCCTGATATAGAGCATCAGGCTGGCATAACAACCCTTCAAAAGCTTGGAATTCCATGAAAGATATAAGGCTACAACACAAAATAATAATATAAATGGACATAAATATTATTCTTCTACACAGATCGTTCAGTAAATTTACAAAACCTGAAAGTAGCACATATATACACACACACACACACAACAAAAAAAAAACTTCTAAGCACGAGATCTTTGTTAAACACAAATCTAAAATCATTAATAAAAGAGAAGGAAATGTGCTTCCAAGAACACTTGAAAAATTGTAAGGCCAGTTAGTAAGGTTACAGTTTAATTTTTTTCTAGAACAATAACTGAATTAGTAAATAAAAAAAAACATCAGGGTTTTGCAAAAGTTAAGATTTTCCTTACCTCACCTTCTCACACATAATAGCTAGAACCTCACATTGAAATGGTGAAGGTGCTAGTGTAGACATTAAACCTAGATGAGCCCCCTTCAGAAAATGCGTGAAGGTAAATCCCATGTGACACCCAATGGCAGGGGGCTCCACAGAGGCACACCTGTGAGACACAGCATCTTGTCTTCATTGGGGTATACTCGTTACCCAAAGGGAACAGAAGCAACTGGGATGGCTAGAATTTTATCATGACCCCCTACCAACTGCACACAACTGGTCAATGAGCCACAGATGTACAAAATCAGTGAGTAACCCTCCAAGATCCACAACCTCAGCAGCTAGGAACTGGTAAGTGGCAAGGGTCTTCCATGATCCACTTGAAGAAGGAGGAGGAGGGGCAATTTGCATCGGGGAGATCAGAAGAAGTGCCCAGATCCCCATCTGACACCTGCCAAAAAGGACTCTTATCGGAGAAAATGCTATGGGTGACTGCAAAACCCTATTTTTAAAAGCTGGCATTTGCTAGCCAAAGAAGTGAACAATCACTTCCCTGGTTCCACCTTTTCCCATAATAGTCCATGGAATACGATCTGGATCTGGCAATTGAGTAATTTTAATACCATGAGGATACCTCTAGTGATCTTTCAGAACACCCTGTCTCAACAGTGGACACTGGTAGAATCAGGACAGATGGTTTGAGTGCTTTCCATTACCCCCTAGTTTGATGGGGATCTTGGAAAACAAGCATACCTTGGTGGGATCCTATGAAAGAGAAAAGGGTGATGAAAAATAAAATGTACTTACCCTTCTCAAAAACACTATATGCAGTTACTGAAAAACAGCTACTGGAGGGAGTCAGAATCCCAATAGAGAAAAAAAAAAAAACAGATGAAGATAATGGGAGATGAATGTGTATGGGAATGAGGTAGAAGAAGATGGGGCCTGGATGCCAATTGACAAAGCAGAGGAAATCAAGATTGCAGGCCGAAGAGGCACCACTAACAGGACAAAAAAGGTGAGACCAGTCATGGTTGAAAGCACTGACTGCCAGGGCCAAACAGTGAGGAATTGGGGACAAAAGAGGGAAAGTTTGGTGTTGAGAGATGAGAAAGTATGGATGAGAGGTGTGCTCAATTGTGAGCAAACCCAATGAAATATCTAAGGGTAGAGAGACCACTCCATGGAAGACAAGATCTCGATGGACAAAACAAAGAAAATGTCTGGAATATATGGGTAATTGGAATTTGTAAAAAGGTTTCTAAAATGTTGACCTTGGTCATCCACAATCCAGGTGAAAAGAACCACCAAGGAGAGAAGAAACCCTCCGTGTAGAACCAATGGATAAAAAATTGGTTGAAATAAAAATTATATAGTGTACTAGTACCATCACTATAAAAGTAGGCTTAATTTCATCTGCAACCAACAGCAAAAAACAAGATCAATGTAAGTACTATTTTCTTGTTTTTCATATACATATATATATATCATTTATTGTTATAAAAGTAACTAAGATATAAAAATTAGAAACTTATAAGGTTAGATACGATTTTATTAAGTAAGATAAAAATAATTCTTCATTACAACATATGCTTGCAAGCAGCTTGTATATTACATTACTCAAAACATTAATGTGAGTTATGCATTTACTGAGTGATTTACAACTTGTATGTGGGGATTATTTAGATACCCTTCAAAGGGCAATAAAATAAAGTACAAGCAGGAGTAAACCGTTACAAGCCTTTAGCTATTTACAATAAAAAACTGTAGCTTTCTACTACAATCTGCAGTCATTCTAGAAAGAAAAAAAAAGGGAATTTAGATATATTTGGTATTCTTTTTATGGTGGTTACCAATTCGGTCAAATGTATTAGGGTAGAGGGAATAACATAAAAATATCAAGTTTTACTGAAACAAACTAATTTATTTTAGAGATTACACAACTGAAATTTGACAATTTTCAGATGAAGAAATGTATTTCTAACCTTAATATGAAAATCATTTTGCATTCAAAGCAGTCAACAATTTGACTTCATATATTCATGGACAAATCTTTAGTAAACACAATTAATTTCAAAAACTAATTTTTTGTGTACAAAAAAGACTTGCAAAGATAAATATACCATACTAAAAGTTATAGCATGGAAACCCTAATGGTTACTTTGTGGTTACAAGGTCAGTCACATCAACCAACACTGTATGGAAAGAGTTAAGAGTCCTCAAGTCTAAAAAAATCATAACTTTAGAAAACAATTTAATAATGATTTAGTAGATAAGTAAAAACTCTGTTCTACATATAAAATGGATAATTTCATACAATATATAGATTCAATGTCTACTCACACATCTATGTTGTTGTCCTCTAACATAACTTAATTTACCTTAACCTATCACTACTTGCAACAGTTTGTACTAAAAAAGTTTATGGACAACCTACCCATCTTTGGATGTATCCAACACACTTGAAATAAGCTGAACAGACTCACGGTTGTAATTGGAATCTTGAAACAGACCTAAGAATCTTCGTACAAAATCTTCAGGTGTCATAAATTTATCCCCATTTTTTTCTACACTAGCATACTGGAAACAAATATATATATATATATATATATATATGTACACTTTTTAATATCCTGGACAGATTTAAAGTCATTTCATATTCTGTGACTTGTCAGTAACACTATGTACTGTAACAAAAATGAGACAGTCACCTAACAACCACAGTAGGGGTAACTACTTATAAATATTTCATCAGTGACTATCATCAAGTCAATTTAGAACAATGATTTAATCATGAAAAAAATCATTGTTATATACAACAATGACATATGGAGCATGAATTGCTAGAATGAGTAACATTGCAATGATAAAGACATTAGCTGTTAATATTGGCAAGTTAATACATAAAAGATCAAATATTAGGTTTAAAATCTCAAGTAATATTATTCTGTTGTACAAAAAAAAGCCAGTATAAGCATTAGCAATAAAAAAAGAAAATCGGGTAACAAAAGTTTAAGAATACTGACTTGCCAATCTGGAGTTTAATAAATATTTTCTCACACATTTCAGACAAACTCATGTAATATACAAGCTTAATTTAAATGATTTTCTTAGTTACAAATATTAAATGACTATATAATACAACCATTTTCAAATTGAGACAGTTAGGAAAGTCAGTTAGATAGCTCCAATCTAATGTAAAGGTCTGATAACGAGTTTAACACTTTTAATAAACATAATTATGCTGGTGAAAATATTATACTCAAGTCACCAAAAAACCCTAATATAGTGGGGTACTAGGTAGTGAAATTTGTCATTATTCTCATACTCAAAGCATTTCATTATTCTGAAACAGTGGACACAGGAGATGGTTGAAATTTGGTTTTATCTTCCAAACATACTGTAACAGTTATTTTCTATTAAAATTCACCTACATAAACTAAAACCAAGCTTACCTTTTCAAAAATTTCTCTCAGTCTGTCAGGATCAGCTCTTTTTACTACAGAAACTCTCTGGAATATAATACATAACAATTTGTCAACAAGTTACATTTTATAGAGCTTTCAATCCGTTATTCTTAGTCTTAGATACAAAACATCATAAAATACTATATTAATGGAAATATTCCTTAACAATAATATTAATGCTATTCGTGGAATACAGTTTCATTCAAGCTGTTAATGTAGCATGATGTTTTGTTTCAATAAAAGTCTTCAATCCATAGGAACTGAAATATCAAGGTCATAGTCCGTGTAAGTAAAATACTCTGACCTCGACAGTGTCTGTGGGCTATTGCTGTGACTTGCAAAGGAGTTTAAAAATTGTGAGATTTACTTAGCAGTGCATTCATCTATGATAAATGGACTTTACAAGTTGTTGGCAATGTACATATATATACATATAAAATGTATGTTACTCTTGAAAATGTAATTTTTGTGTCATTATCATTATGAGCATTCACATCAATATTCAGTAAGAAAAAAATTAAAGATTTGCCTACATTGTGCTGGAAAGCACTGTGACATCACATATGAATGGTTTTATACATTTAATACTTCCATTGTTTGAAAAAAGAAATGAAACAATTATAAAGTGGACTTGTAGATTTGTTATGTTGAAACATCAAAGTTTCTCAACTAATATCCTTTTGTATATTTCAAATGGGTTTGGGTTTTTAATAAGCTATGAGTAAATGCTATGTAGTTATGAAATTGGTAAAGTTTACTTATGAAACATTAATTATTTAAACATAAAGTAATATCTGTATGCGAAAAAATGAAAAGTCAAAGTTGTGTACATTCCTATTTCAAATTATAGCAATTTAACAACATTAAATAATATCAAAATTGTTAGTTAGCTATGTCTTTATATTCTTAATCCTTACCCTCATTCTAATACTTACATGACTTGAACAAAAAAATTTAACACTTCACTTCATTAATCTAGTTCACACCATAACACTTATTCATGCAACTGATGATGATATAAATAGTACCTAGACACTACTCTCTGTTGTATCTCAGCCAGAATGAATAGCCCTGGTAATTTGAGAAAGAGGCCTCATTGGCACTAGATATGGCATATTTTGTGGTGGAAATACTTTTAAATATTACTCTTTGCTTTGATTCATAAGTTTTTATAAGCATTCATTTTTGTGGTTTTTAATAAGCAGTTATAACCTATAAAAATGTACTATTTTTTAATTGTTGAGTGTTTTACTGACAATAAATGCAAATCAAAGTCATGTAAACTAAAAATCTAAATTTTAACAAGTTTGACCAAAAACTTCATAATTTATTTTGTGAGAGTCTTGCAAGTTTCAATTTTTTTTCTATTTAACAATGTTACACTAAAAATATTTGTACAGCACATAGTTAAAACAATGGTTTGATAATATACATTTTCAAGAGTTTTTCTAATTTTATTTCAAAAAATTATTATGAATTTCAAGCACTGTCCATCCCCTGAAATAGTATAAAAAATCATGCACTTTATAGAGGTTTCGAATTAGTACAAATAATCAAGCACTTTTGAAGTTTTAAATGGTCTGGTCAAATCTGGTTTAAATTTCACGAAGATTACTCCAGAATATATTGAATATTTACTTTCTCCACTAAGACTGTGAGAGCACAGCAGAATAAGTAAATAATGAAAAAAAAAGCAACTTTTGAGTAGAACTATAAATCCCTAACTTTTAATTTAACAACATCATGAAGAATAACAACAAACTATACAATAATGTTTAGCTTAACTATGTTGAAACAATGCAAGTTTAACTTTAAGTTTGCGACGTGACTTTCTTTAAAAAATTAAACATTGAAAGTTAAACTCAAAGTTGGTAGAACTAAAAATTAAATTTCAGAAAGATAATATTCAATCAATACTATAATTCAAATCTTGACTCCTGTATCTTAAACCACAACACTTACAATTACATTATTCAAAATCAAACCATAAAATTAAAAAGCAATTATTGCATACCTCAACGTCTATTTGTTGACAATCTGCATTTTTAATTAACAAATCGGGTATCAGGAAGCTCTGCATGCTGGGCTGGGAGTGGGACTGAGCGTTGGTAGTCTAGTAGTGATACGAGAAAAAGGCTTAAGCTAAAAAAGTTAAGAAGACTCAACAAAAGAACATTAAGTAATAAGAAGCTGTTACAAAGAAAATAATGCCAATTTTCTGGGTAAATGCAAAATTACACCATCATGCAATATACATATATAAACAAATATCATTACTAAGGGTTTAACTTTTAATACGCTTTCAAACCTTTTCCTCTATCGACGTTATGTCAACCCTCACTGCATCCATGACGTGAAATAAAAGTGTGTACTAACATTCTGATTCAAAACTCGTATGTTATTTGCTAACGTTCGAGAGGTGATAAGAAAGGCTTTACTATTGGTTCTTGCCTTGAAGTATATGATTGGCCCATAACAAACCCTATAGGCTGAATGCGAGAATTTATCTGAATAGGAGCGCGAAGACTTGTAAAAATGGCGGGTAAGTGACTGTGAAGTTTATCTTGTTTTCTACTTTTTATCATTCAAAATGTAATTCTGTTACTGACAAAAAACGTGGACTTGCACTATTGTTCTTGAATTAATAATTAAATGTGGTTACTTTATCCCATTGGAAATTTATTGTTTTTGTGTGTGTAATATAAAGAGTGGATAAAGAAATGTTAACTAAGCCTAACATTTCATTTTCATAGAGCTTAGAAGAAAGAACAAGGCCTTTTTCATACCCAGGCTACTACTAGTACCATTACTTTTAGTTTTACTAATATTAGAATAATCTCTTATTTACTATGATATTAATAGGTATTATTATATTCAGCAAAGTATAGCAGTAACATTGCCATCAAATTCAAAGTGGAATTACATTTTAATTTTGGTATTGCAGCAGCCTAATTTTTAGTTTTAAAGTTGAGCTTTTAATAAGTTTTATTTTTTACTAAACATCTAAAGTAAAGACGGAAGTGTGAATGTCCTAATTTACTGAGTAATTAATATAACTATGAATATTAGAATTTACACTAGCTATCCACTGTTAGTGCTTACAGTAGAGGATTTTATTGAATTGTAAATAGCAGAAAGAATAAGACAATTACACACAATTGGATTCCACAGTAAAATATTAATAGATTTACACTGCAACTTGAATTATGAATTTAATAATTAACGAAAACGAATTAATAATTGTACCTATAAATTGACATTTTGCACCATGCTAATTTCTAATTGAAACAATGCTAATAAAATTGCTTTACCTGGTAACCTGAGATGTTGCATGAAACTTGTAACAAGGTGGGATAAAATATAATCCTTATAAAATACTTCAATTTAAAACCTGTATGTATGAATGTATATTATATTGATAAATGAAATGAAAACTGTCAACAACCAAATTTTAAAAATCAGCTATGCAATTGCATATTTACCTATTAAAATAAAGGAGAGATTTTGTATTCACATTGGTTTCATGATTGACTAGTGTCAAAGCAATGTGTCTTCTGCATTCACTTCCAATTCCTCTTTTTTTTTTGATATGCTGTTGATTAAAATTATATAGACATATATGTATGAGCTTCTAAATTATCAAATAATGACCACAATGTTTATTGTATGGCTTGGTTTTTTTTTCAAATTCAATGAAAAATAAGTATTTATTAAGGGTTTTAAAGTTTTGTTTGTGTGCTTTCAAATACAAAATGTTTCTGAATGCAAAAAAAAACAATCAGGAGAATGAAGAGCATAAATAGGACTATTGTTTGATATGTCATTAACATGTATTCACCAAGCACCCACCAACTGATGCTCTGGTTTTTGATGCTCAACATTTACCCGTTGTTTGTGAAAAATGTTTATAAGTCATGACATTCTTTTTACAGTCTGATTACAACTACTAAAAGAATGGATGCCTTGAAATAAACCGTAAGAACTCAGCATGTAATAGTACTGTTAACTTTTTCATTTGTTGTTTGGTGTGCAGTAATTTGGTATTTTGGTAATGGGAGACATATGTTTGGAACTGTGAAGTTGTGCTAATACACAATCTGTTGCCAAGTGCTGGGATTCTCCAAAACACCCTGCTACAGTACAGAAAAGGGAAAAGACTTGTAGTGTGAATTTGTTACAGACCACTAACTGGTACTGGTGAAGTTAGTGAGAACCTTTACAATGAGATTATGATGTCAGCTGTTAATTTATGATGAAAGTCTTCCGGAAATCCGGATATTTCTTCCTGAGAAACACATTTTTTAAAATTATTTATCGGATTTTGGTGTTCCATGCCATAAATAAGCATTTATGCAATCGCACGGTTTGTTTACATTCGGCAACAGGGCGCCGCCATTTTGTAGTCTCGCAATGCTTGCTGGTGTGTACGAGACCTTGTATGCTTATAATGCAAACTTCATGTCATGTGAACGAGATTTTATCTCGAAAACGTACTTTAGAAAATGTGGTCATTCTTTTGTGTACCTTTCTATTGAGCGAGACAATTGAAGAGCCTTATCTATTCAAAGGTGTTTACCGAAGCGATAATAGATCAAATGAAATGTACAAACAAGTAGATAGGTCGGCGGATATCAGTAGCATAGAAGGAAAGGCAAAGAACAAGTTCAAATGGTCGTGGCTGGAGGAAAAGGTTTGATTTGCCGTCTTGATTAGTCATGTCATTGAATGATAATTAAGAAATTATTAACGATTTTTTAAAACTACAGTACAAGAACTGATTATAAACTTTAATAGATCTATAAAGTAAAATTTACTAACCACGTGCACAGTGCATATCCTGGCCTGTCCACTTTCCTCACAAAGTCCGATAAAAAGTCACCATTTACATTGGATCAGTATTTGAGAGAAGTCTCAAGAATACAGACAGATCCAACCCTACCTGGGATAAATGACAGCACCCGACTGGATCACTGGTGGAGAGAGGTTATGCCTTGCTATCCAGCTCTTGGGAAGGTAGTAAGAGCTTGTCTTAGTATTTTCACTGGACCCAAAATAGAACAGTCATTTAGCGTTTATGAATGACCTCATTGATGCTAAATCAAACAGGATGGCTTTGTAGACATATTCTTCATTTCAAAGCATGAAATA